CTGGGCCGGTGCTGGCCAGCACACAGGGTCTGTGCTTACACGGGAGCTGTGACCAAATGATGTGCTGACTCACTCGGACCCACTGGGCAGATCCTTCCTGGGGCCACACACACGGGCCAACACGGCATTCTAGGCCAGAGTCCGGTGTGCTTAGAATAATGTTTCCTAATGCCTCTGGGGCTGAGGGTGGCAGACAGGTGCTGCCACGAGTGCCAGCCATGGCCGCTTCTGAAGTGTTGGTGGCCCTTGCGGTTATCAGGCCAGGCGGGACCCTGGCCTCCCGAGGGCTGAGGACTAGGCGCACTCCTGGCTCCTCTGCGGGGCCCCTGGCCTCCAGCTCTGCATCCCCTGCTCCCCTCAGTACTGCTGGATGTGACCCTGTACCCTGCCCCAGTGCAGCTAGGTGTAGTCACTATTAAGAAAAAAAAAACAACCCCAGAGCAAGAGAATACAGGACTATTCAACACCTGCCCTGCACACTGCTGACCACCACTAGCTCTCCAGCACCTCGGAGCTTACCAGGGTGACCCCTGAGCTCCATCTGGAGTGAGCCCTGGGCACAACCAGGCCCCCAAACCCTTTTCCTCCCCACTCCACCCCCCAAATCAAGACAATAGAAAAAACCAGCAAATCTCATTTTTTAAAAAATGTAATAAGAACAAGTGGATTTTTGGGTTTTAGATTTGTTTCACTTTAAGGAGTCCAGACCTTTATTTATTTCTTTTTTTCTTTTTTTCTTTTTGGATCACACCTGGCAATGCTCAGGGATTACTCCTGGCTCTGCATTCAGGAATTACTCCTGGTGGTGCTCAGGGGACCATATGGGATGCTGAGAATCGAACACGGGTCAGCCGCATGCAAGGCAAATGCCAAATATCACTCCAGCCCCAGGAGTCCAGGCATTTAAGCCTCTGTGTGTGTGAGCTCACACACATCTGTTCAAATCATACAGGATTTCAGATATGCTTTTCAAAAACAAATGCTTATAAATGTGTGGAAGGTAAATGGTTGTAATTTGGTTCTTTTCCAAAGAAGCACCTATGTTTTTCTGCATGGAAATAACTAGATGCGGCTTTTTCGTTAGAATGATTGGACTGTTTTTTGTGATTCAGTCTGTTTTTCTTGGGCGAGCACCTTGGTCTGAGTGTTGGTCCAGGGGTCTGGGACCAAAGGGGCCTTGGCGGAGGCTGATGTGTTCACTTGGGGGTCCACTTAGCTTTCCAACTGCATTGTGACCAGCTGCCCCTGGGGTGAGAAATGGGTAAGCCCTGGACACGCTGGAAGGATGGTTAGGGAAATTCTCTGGTTGTTCAGTGGGAATCTTTGGAGCCACCAGAATTCCCTCACACTCCTCCTGCATTTGGGGTCATCCCCTGGGTCCCCACTGTGGTCTGTCTTATGCCAGTTCCAGACAGGCCAGGGTTGGGGTGCATGTGCTGGAGTGGGCGGCTTGACCCTAGAACTCAGAGATGACGCACCTGCCTTTGGCCGTGGCTGGGGTTCTGGAGTGCATCTTTGAGCTCCTGGTGGGCCTGTCAGGATCACTGGAAGTGGGGATCCCGGCCGCTGCATAGCTGGCTTTAGACACTTTGGTTGCAGATTGTGTAAAACATTGTCAATTAGTTGTGCTTTGAAGATGTATGAAGGAAGGTTTGACAGCGTGGGCTAGATTTCCATGGATTTCCGCCTGTGGATAAAATTATTCCTTAAACAGTTGAGCTGTGCATACTTAATTGCTGTTTCTTTTTCTTTTTCTTTTTTTTTTTTTTTGAGCATGGGGTCACGCCTGGCTGTGCTTAGGTTTTATTCCTGGCCAGAGAAATCGTACAGGGATTCAGGTGCATGCCTCACAGCAGCTTACCCAGGCTTGATCCCCCACCAAATAATTCCCCAAACACTGCTGAGGTGCGGCCCTTGGGGTACCTGACCACTGCCAAGGTAGCCAGGGGGGCCTGCCACTGCAGTGACTGAACAATAACGTGTGCTTGACCCTCACCTCAGTGCTGGTCCTGATGGCCCAGAACTGTCACGCAGGGCCCTTGGGTACTGCTTCCCCACCCAGCCCCTTGCAGTTGGAATAAATAAATTAGAAAACAAGAAAAGGGGAAAATATCCAACCTAGTTTTAGAGTCGTTGGTCAGGAAAAGTGCACACAAATCAACAACGTCCATTTCGTTTGCTCTTCTCTTGATTATAATTGCATGTTTTCATCTACATTTTGCCAAATGGAATGCAAAATAGACTTCCACTTTTCATTTGTGTACCGTTTTTCTCAAGATTTCTTTTCTCCACCCTCCTCTGCCGAATCACTGTCTGTGAAATGAGGGTTCTGGTGTGAGGGGCTTGCTGGCCGTACTCCAGGTCCTCAGACAACTCTGGGGTCTGTTTTGGGTTCAGTCCAGGGGAAGCAATGGCCCTGCAAAATCTGAGCAGGTGGTTTGAGATTATCCCACACCAGAAGATTTCAGCATCATTTTCCCATCTGCATTCATTCTGGTCTCTGAGGTCTCCAGAGGAATCATTTCTCTCTTGTCTCTGGTTTTTGAAATCACTGCCATCCAGAGAACAGAAATTGTTTGCTGTTTTGTTGCATCTTAATGATTTTGAGATTTTATGTAATGTGATTTTTTAAATTTAATAGGTATCCATTAACTAGATTCAGACCTCTTTGATATTCAAATACTTGGCAATATTATTGAATGCTGTAGGGAAAAGTAATACAGAGTGCTGTTATATGTTACAGTTTCACAATTGGCTCTTTGTTTTTTCATCCTTGGAGGCAGTGCCCACAGCAAATCGGTCACTTCCGTAATCATCACACAGTACCCTATCACTGTGTGGAACTGTGGTTTCCAGCCACTGGTCTGCCAGTGTAAAGAGGTTGAAAACTACTGGTGTGGAAGATATAGTGGAGGACCAGCAACAGTATAGCAGGCAGGGTGCTCTTCTTACAGGTGGCTGACCCAGGCTTGAGTCCTGGCACCGCAGATGCTCCCCTAAGCCCCACCAGGAGTGATCCTTGAGCACCACCAGGTGTGACCCCCAAATAAGACTAACAAAAAAGAAACATAGGGAGAATCTCAGGATCCAGCAAGGCAGGATAGGCTGGCATATAGGGCCAGCGCAGCCTCTGCAAGATAGCCTTTGTCCAATTTTCCTGTAAACCAGACTTTCTGGGTTTTTATGAGTGTGTGTGTGTGTGTGTGTGTGTGTGTGTGTGTGTGTGTGTGTTTTGGGTCATGCCTGGTGGTGTCTAGGAGTCACTCCCAGCAGTGCTCAGAACCATAAGGCGTGAGGTACCAGGGATTGAACCCGGGCTTTCAACATGCACTCTTGCATGTTAGGCTGTTTCTTAAGCTCCTAATGGATTTTATGTTTTAGAATAGTTTTATATTTGCATTTAGGTCCATTTTATGTATGTGTGGGTTTGGGGGTCACACCCAATGGTGGTTAACGGATACTTCTGGCTTTGTGTTTGGGGGTTGCTCCTGGCAGCATTCGGGGGAACCATCAGTGCCCAGAAATCAAATCAGGGCCTCCTTTTTCTTTTCCTTTTTTTTTCTTTGTTCTTTTCCCTTTTCTTTTTCTAACTTTAAACTGTGGTTTACAAAGTTGTTCATAATGCAGTTCTTTTTTAAATTTTATTATTTTAGAGCATTACAATGCTGTTCATGGTTGGATTTCAGTCATACAGTATTCCAACACCCATCTCTCCACCAATGTACATTTCCCAGTACTAATGTCCCCAGGTTTCCTCCCATCACCCCCCAACTCCCCACCCTTGTCTGCCTTTACTGCAGGCTCTTTTCTTCTCTCTCTCCCTCTCTCTTTCCTTTTGGGCATTGTGGCTTGTGATATTGATACTGAAAGATTATCAAGAATATCCCTTACCTACTTTTAACCCGCAGATCTTGTTCGTGTGATTATTGCCAGCTATTATTGTCATACTGGTCTCTTCTCTATCTTACCTACCCCCAGCCCCACACATACTTGTGGTTAGTTCCAACCCTTGATCAGTCCTCTTGACCCCTGTTTACCCTGGTCATGGATATTATTCTTCTACTTTGTGTGTGTATGTATACATAAAGGTAAAGGTAAAGGTAAAGGCCCTCCCGTTGATCGTCGATTTGCTCAAGCGGGCCCAGTAACGTCTCCATTGGAGACTTTGTTGTTACTGTGTTTGGCATATCGGTAGCTTGCCGGGCTCTCCGAGAGGGGCGGAGGAATCGAACTTGGGTCGGCCATGTTGGCCGCGTGTAAGGCGAACGCCCTACCCGCTGTGCTATCGCTCCAGCCCCATACCACAAGTAAATGCAGTCATCCTATATTTGTTCCTCTTCTTCTGACTCATTTCACTCAGCATGATACTCTCTCCATGTCCATCCATTTATAGGCAAATTTCATGGCTTCATTTTTCTTGACAGCTGCATAGTATTCCATTGTGTAGATGTGCCATAGTTTATTTATCCATTTATCTGTTCTTGGACACTCAAGTTGCTTCCAGATTCTGGCTATGATGAATAGTTATAATGCAGTTCTTTTGGGTTGTTAGTGTTACAACACCAGTCCCACCACCAGTGTGGCCTTCCCTCTTTGTCTGTGGTTTCCCACCCACTCCAAGCCTGCCCCCTTAGCAAGGACAAGATAATTTATTTTATATTGCTCATTACAACAAAATGGCAAATAGAATTATAAAAATATAACTGAGTAAAAGAAAATTCATGAACACCTTTTTAAAAATATATTGTAATGGTGTTATGTCTCACAGTGTTGTTACTAAAGACATTGAGGATTTACTGACTGTTTCTTGTTGAGCCTCCTGTGTTATTGTTTTCACTTACTGGAACTTCTGGGCTTCTATGCCTCTCTCCTATCTGATTTGCTGTGCTCTGACTAGGCTGTCAGTACTGTGGAATTTGGAAGTGTTGCATGGCCACACATGTGGCCTCATGTTCCAGTTGCTCAGGAACTTTCAGCTCACATTTGCCCTCTCTCTGCAGACGTCGCCTCATCTCCCAGAGATCGTCCCTGGAGACCCTGGAGGATATTGAGGAGAATGCCCCTCTACGGAGGTGAGTTTCAGTGTTGGGTTTAAGACAGGTAAGAGGCCTAGAGTATAAAACAGCAGCCAAAGTTTCCTTTTCTCAATGGGGACAGGGAGCTTTTAAAGTAGTTTTTAGGAGACTCCTGGTCACTCATGACAATGCTCAGCTAGCAGGCAAGATGCTTCAGTGCCAAGGTCCACTAGGATCACACCTTGCAGTGCTGGGGGCCACCAGGGCTGCACCTGGTATTGTCATGGGACCATGCACCATTACGGTCCCCCCGGGCCCTGCACTTGTGAGCATGTGCCACTGTCCTCTGAGCTGTCTTCCTGACCCTCCCCCCCACACACACTTTTCTAAGTCTTTGATCTACAGAATTAAATATTTTTAATGACCATTGACACCCCAGACTCATAGTTTAGAAACCTAGCCCCTAAGAGGGGTTCATGATTTCTAGAAAGTTCTTAATACCCATTGCATAGCCAAAGTGCCAGGTGAAAATGTGGACGCTGTCCCCTGGGGGTTTCCATTTTTTCCCGAAAGCTGCTCCTGGGGGATGAAGAACCCCTCATGGCCCCCACTTTTCCCGGGGACAGTCACTCAGCCATCGAGGAGGTTTCCTTGGCTTCTCTGCACAGTGACAATTGAGGAAACTGGTGAACGCAGCAGTGAGTGCTCACTAGGGCAGGGCCTTCCGACTGCCCCCTGGAGATTAGAAAAGCATGGGACGCTTTTCTCTTGGGGGACAGCGGTGGCAAAGCTATAACGCTGGTAGCCTTCTCTTCTGCAGTCCTGCACTCCACCCAGCGCTGTCTGCAATGGATCCTCCAGCCTCCTCAGTTCTCATGGCAGCCTGGCTGGGGTGTGTGTGTGTGTGTGTGTGTGCGCGCGCGCGCGCTTGTGCATGGTTGTGCACGTGTGTGCATGTGTGTGCATGTGTATTTACATGTGTGTGCATGTTGGTGTGTGTGCATGTGCTTGTGTACACGTGCGCATGTGTGCACATGTGCATGCATGTGCGCGTGCATGTGTGTTGCATGTGTTTGTGTATGCATGTATTTGTGTGTATGCGTGTTCGTGTGTGTACGTGTGTGCACATACATGTGCTTGTGTACTTGTGCACATGTGTGTGTATGTGCGTGTGTCTGTGTAGGGGTGTTCCTCCTTGCAAGAGCTGAACCAGACACAGTGGCCTTCCAGGGAAGCATCGCAGGCATCAGGGTGGTCCTGGAGAAGGATTCTGTCGACTTAAACCCTGCAGAACCGCATTGGTGCCCCAATGTGCATGGCTGCTGCCCAGCTCACACGGGCCCGGTTCCTCCCTCCGAGCCCGAGGGCTGTGGTGTGGGAGCTCCTGCCTGCAGCTGCCTCCCGGGGGAAGTTCTCATCCTCAGACCACCGGGATGGAGAAGACAGCCAGATTGGCGTGGGGTCTGCTCGGAAGTGCCAGGCAGCTGCAAGTCTCATCGCTGGCATTGTTCCAAAGCACCAGGCTGCCCTGTTTCTACTTTCCACAGCCTCTGAAAACTTACAGCACTCCTGGGGCTGTCACAGATGAAGGCGTGTGAGCAGCATACACACGGCTGAGATGCAGGTGTTCCTTTCCAGACAAAGTCAGAGAAAACTGTTCCCTGGAAAAAGTCTCATGCAAAGCTGCATCCACAGTCAAGTTAGAGGGAGGGCTTGAGGGCACTGTGTGACCTGGCATGCACGAGGCCTCAGGTCCACCTCAAGTCCTTCCAGACCACCTGAGGCAGACCTGGTCCTGTCCCACCCACACCTCCCCCCACCCCCCCTACATACATACCCAGCACTGTCTGGCAAAACATTGAGCCATCAGCCCTGCACCGCTGGGCAGAGTCTCCCCCAGAAATGGCCCCTGGGCCCCTGTGTGCACTTGCTGAGGAAGCACAGAGTAGCTTTGAGGCCCGGGAATATAGGTGGTAGAAGTGTACGGGCTCTGCATGTTGGAGCCCCTGGGCCAGATGGACAGGGTCAGAGCAGTCAGGTTGGGAAGTGGGCACAGGTCCTAAGTAATCAAGGAGAGAGGAGGAGAAGCAGGCATAGAGGGCAACATGGCTCCCAGCGCCAGGGATGCCTGAATAACACCCAGAGCCCTGTGGCTTCGGCGGGAGCAAGTGAGGAAGCTGCAGGTGGAAACCAGGACCCTCCATCTGTGGGCAGGGTCGGGGGGCCAGAGGGTGCAGAGGGTGCACTCGGCCCGCTGGATTCCCAACAAGCTCCTGTAAATATCTCATGAAACCAGGGGAGCATGGGTGGTTTAGGCATCTCTGTCTTCTCAAATGGGCTTTGTTGTTATTGAGTTTGGGGACCACAACTGACTGTGCTCCAGCTTCCTCCCGACTGTGCTCAGGGGAAAGTACACAGTGCCCGGATCAAACATGCAGCCCAGTTCCTTACCCTCTGTCCTACCTCCGTGGCCCTTGATGCACGGGTTCCTTATGGCTCTCCACACAATGTCAGAGAAGACTGTTCCCTGGAAAAAGTCTTAAAGCAAAGCAGCATCCAAAGTCAAGTTAGAGGGGAGGCTTTCATGAGTGATTTTTTTAGGGGTGGCCAGGAAACCAGAAACAGCAGTGCTCAGGACTTACTCCTGGCTCTGGGATCACTCCTGGCAGGACTCAAGTGACTCTCTGGGATGCCGAGGACCGAACACAGGTACGCTGTGTTCAGAGCAAGCACCCTGCTCACTGTACTATCACTCCATCCCTGGCATGTTAGGTCTCTGGAAACTTGTTCTTGGGAAATGCCATGAGCACATTACTGCAGGCAGAATATTGGCTTGTGAAGCTTGAGGACCTGTGGGTGTTGATCAGATTCTTCTAACTGGGTGCCTAGCCCTGAAAATTCACATAGCTTCGCCGGGGCCTCAGCTTCCGCCTCCATACAGCAGAGGGGCAGATAGGCTGGTTGCTGAGTTCTGGATTCTGTGAGATATGCGTGCCAGGGGTAGCGGCATGCTGTTCTGTGGGCGGGTGGGGGTGGCAGGGTAGTCGCCCAGCGCTCGACAATGAACAAATGGCTCCAAGGCATCTATTAAAAAAACCTTTTGCATAATTAAGTATATCCTGTAATCAGCGCTGACAAGAAAGACTTAATCTTTCATTCAATTAGTTTTTAATTTAATTTCACCCTAATTTAATTTCGCATCACTTAGAATGTATGTTTTTTAAGTGCGTGTTTACACGTTATTGTAGGCTGACTTCAGAATGAGTCCGCTCTTTGCCTAACCTGCCACCGCCAGAGCGTTGTCTTCCAGTTTCCTTGGCGATTGTTGCTAACGCCACAATTCTCTTAAAGCGTTTTGCAGGTTCCCTGGAGGTTTGGTCGAAGGCTTTAAAAATGCCTTCGATAAACAGCTTGCTAAAAGGAGGACTCCATTAGTAGAACTGGGTGCTGATTGCGAGATAAAGGACTTGTGTTTGTTAAGTTTCCCTTTTAAAGTCTTGCTTTTCTCTCGCTCCTCCCAATTCACTTCTAGCCTTTGCCCAGGACTCCCAGGGATGGAGCATTTACAGTGAGGGAGTCCAGATGAGGAAATTGCCGTTTGTCGAGGTGACCTCAGGATCCTAAAAATGGGGTATCTCTATGAGGTGTCGAGTCGACCTTCAGTTTCTCTGCTGGCCTCTGGGTGCTGTGCCATGATTGCTTGGGTGCCCGGTGGCCCTGGGGGGATTTTGTGTTCACACCTGGAGGCCACAGGCAGTTTAGCAGCTTCAGGCCATCCCTTCTCTGCAGCAAGTGCGTCCCTTCACAGGCTGAGAGGGGTGGTCCCAGTGTCTGCTTACCAAGGCGGACAGGGAGGCACCAAGCCCCGTGCATGCAGGCTGGCGCTGCCCCTGCAGCCTCAGACCGGCTGGCTCAGGAAGCTCTGCTTCCGGGAGGAAATGGGATGAGGAAGTGACAACACTCACCAATACTTGTCCAGAGAAACCGATGAGGGTGCACCATTATGCTCTTTAGCAGGCTCGTCTTTCTAGTGACAGCATGCTTCTAGAACCTTCTCTGGGGGCTGGAGAGTTAGTATGGTGGGTCTTACATGCAGCTTACCTGGGTTCAACCCCTGGCATCACGTATGGTCTGCTGAACACCTCTAGGAATAATTCCTGAGCAAGTGCAGGGCCAGGAGTAAGCCCTGAGCATCGCCAAGTGTGGTCTAAAAAGCGGGGAAAAAAAGAATATAAAACCTTCTCTGTGAAGATAATGATGGTGGTAGGGTCTTGGGCAACCTTCAAGTCAGAGGCCAGTTGGAGTTCTGGGGTCTGCATCCAAAGAACTCCTCCCAGAAGCAGAGTTAGGCTTTGTTCCATTAAGCCCTAAGCAGACTGGGTTTAGGGACTAGGAGTGGGCTTAGGAACCTCACACCACCACTGAGTCGAACTCTGCCTGCAGCTTTCAGGGATTGCCTACTGATGTTCTTAGACATTCTTCAGTGCAGTTTTCAAAGTTGGATCAGGGATCTAGCCCCAAAAGCATAGAGACAGTAATATACACACATCTGTGTTCATCGCTGTACTTAGTGCAATAGCCAAGATATAGAAGCAAGCTGATACTTAACTACAGATGAATAGGAAGTTGTGGAATATATACATAATGGAATACTATGCAGTTCTAGAAAAGAACAGAATCATGCAGTTTGCCTTGACATGCGTGGAACTAGAGGATACCATGCTGAGTGAAGTCAGTCAAAGGAAAGGGACACATGCAGAATGATCTCTCGTACGTGGAACCTAAAGCTACACAGCAAGGGAACAGCAAAGGGCCAAGGGCAATACAAAGAACTGATCCACAAAACTGAGTTGGGGAGGGGTCGATTAAAAGGGCGGGGCCTTGGAGGAGGGGGTAGGTACACTGGCAAGGGATGTGGTGTCAGAATATGTACATAGGAAGCCATCAGTAACAATAGTGTAAACCACAATACCTTGGCTTTAAAAGATTATAAACTTGGATGGGCAATATCTCAAAGAACTTAGCACGTGTTGTTCATGTAGGTAGTCTGGGTTTGTACCCCCGTGTGTATGTACGTGTGCGTGTGCATGTGTGTGTGGAGTGAGGTGCACCATCACTGGGAGGAACCCCCCAGGAGTAGGTTCTGGTTGCCACTGGGTTGTTGCAAAACAGCAACAAGGCAACAAAAACTATGGAAAGCCTCGAAATCAGGACCCTGATTTCAGAATCCACCTTCATTAGAGGCAGGTGGTCAGAACGAGGCCCCTTTCGTGGCAAATGGCCTCTTGGCACCTGCAGTCCTGGCGACTGTTGGTGTGTGCACACAGGGATCACAGTATCATGTGTGTGAGCAAAGACACGTACCATGCCACATTGAATGCTCACAGCTCCGCCAGTGGCATCTGAAATACCTTTGGGGACCAGTCAGCTTCCACTGTGAATTGGGGAGGACTCCATGGTTTTTTTGCTTCGTTTTAATTAATATCTCCCCCCCCCCCATGTTGTTGATATTGTTTGCATGATGACCAGGGTACGGGGTGCTTATTGTGGGGGTTGGGCACACCTGAACTGCACACTCTGTGCTGGTGCTCCCCAAGGGGTTTGCGTCTTTCCTGTGGTGCCTGCACATGTCTGCTGGGCTAGCACCTGTTACTGAGGCAGCTAAGTCAGGGTGTGCTGCTCCCCGGGGGTGTCTGTAACCCTTCCACATGTGCTCACCAGATGTGGCACTCCCCAGGCCTGGTGCCTGCACGTCTTTCAAGTGGCGACACTCTGGCCGGAAATTGCTTGTGGTACTGGGGATCATAGACAACAAAAGTTGCCAGAACTGCGCTTGGTGCATATGGGACACCAGGGGCTTGAACTCATAACCAGAAGACTCCATGGGCCCTTTTGCTATTTCACTGGGCCTGGTGTTCGTGGAAGCGTCTCTCAGGATCACATGGGTTGCAGATCCTGGCTGTGATTCTGCTCCGCTGCAGTGGATGTGACTATAAGGGGCTTGGCTTTGCCTCGTGGAGACCCAGAAGGGTCTCTTCTCTAATGCAAACAAACCATTCCTGTGTCTTTTCTCTGGCCTGCACTTACTGATTTTAGAGTGACTTTTTAATTCGAATGAAGTTCCATGACATGATTTTGTTTCTTGTGGGAGGAGACTCCTTCCCAGCACTCTCTGAAGACTGGCCCCACTGCGGGTGGGCTGGGTTGTGTCTCCGGGGCCATACTCTGGGCTTTGTTCTCTGCAGTCTGCATGGGGGACCTCACCCAGTTTCCCTGGAGTGAAGATCAGAATAGATAATGCAGGTCTGGGAAGCTGCCCCTTCTGTGCCCTAACATGTGTCCCTGTACCCCACCCCCACCGCACCCGCCAGCCCTGTACACACACTTGCCTTGTCGTTCTCTTCCCCGGAATCTCAATGTGAAGCTTGGTAGTACTCGCTGGAGGCCCAGCGGGGCTCTCATGTGGCTCTGGGAAGCCGTGCTGTCCCCCTGTCCCCTGAGAGGTTCTGTGGGAGGGAAAAGTTGTCCACAGGTACAGTCAGGGGCCAAGGGACCAGGAAGAAAAGGTGAGTCAACAAAGCTTTCTAGTCCAGACGACTGTTGGACAAACTCCCAGCTCCCCTCTCTCAAGGAAACCAAACTTCAGACTCTCGTTTGTTGGTTGTTTTTGTTTTTGTTTACTCTTTCCCTTCTTGCTGCCCTTTGGGAACAGAACTTGTCAGTTTCCTTTTGACCATGGGCACGCACGCACGCGCACGTGCACGCGCACGCGCGCGCACACACACACACACACACACACACACACAGTCTTTTCTCTCTCTCTCTTTTTTTTTTTTTCGCTTTTTGGGTCACACCCGGCGATGCTCAGGGGTTACTCCTGGCTCTGCACTCAGGAATTACTCCTGGCGGTGCTTGGGGGACCATATGGGACGCTGGAAATCGAACCCAGGTTGGCGGCATGCAAGGCAAACACCCTACCCACTATGCTATCGCTTCAGCCCCTTTGTTAGTCTTTTCATCCAAGCAAATATCTGTATAATCCAGGGCTTTAAGGGTTAGGAGGGACCTTTTAACTCCAAGTCATTTTGTTCAATTAATATTTATTTTAAAAAAATATTTTTTTTTACAATGAAAAGCAAACAGCCTCAGGCCAGGTCTCTGATTCCCATTCAAAGTAAAAATGGGACTTCCAGGCAGACAAGTTGAAAGTTGAGGCAGAAGTCCAAGGCGACCAGGCCAAAGTTCTGCTATGGAAGAAAAATGATTTGCGATTGTTTTTAAACTGAATTTTCCAGGGTTGTTCTCCTGTTCCCCTGCACCACTACCCTCTCCCCCCCCCAAAAAAAAATTCTTTACTTTTGCAATTTTCTGTTCCCGTTACTTGTGTTGATTCTTTTTTTAAGATCCCAGTGAAAATGTGTTTGGACTCTGTCTAGGTTGTATTATTTTAACGGGGACAGCCGTTTTCAGAGCTGGCTTTGTATGAATTATCATCAGTATTATCAAGGAAGCTGTCTGTCAGTGGGCTTTGGCCCCCCACCCGTCCCCGCCCCAGGCTTCCTTGCTTCCAGTCGCTGGGCGTTCTTATCCTTGGGGTGACTCAAACCGTTTGTCTGGTCTTTCCTTCCTGTCTTTGTGTGGAAATGTCTCAGCTGTGGTGTGTGTGTGTGTGTGTGTGTGTGTGTGTGTGTGTGTGTGTGTGTGTAACTGACTCAGTTTTGGCAACGCTTATTTTTTCACAGATGCAGAACTCTCTCAGGTTCGCCCAGACCAAAGAACTTCAAGAAGATTCATTTTATCAAGAGCATGCGGCAGCACGATACCAGGAACGGCAGGTACCACCGTCCCCAAGGCGGGTACAGCTTCCTTGTGGTAGGAGAGGGGACCTGGCAAGGGCCAGACCGCAGCCCTCAGCCACGTCCAGGCCTGGCTGCCCAGATGGGCAGGATCCATGTCTCATGTCGAGTCACCTCCCCCTCCCTGAGACGATTCGGGATGAAGTTAGCCACCAAAGTTTAGTGAGGTCTTTTTGTTGTTGTTGTTGTGTTGTTTTGTTTTGTTAGATAAACTGAATTTCTTTTTAATATTTTTGTTTGTTTGGGGATAGGGGGTACCACTGTGAGTATCCTGCAGTGCCAGGGCTCAAACCTAGGGACCCGCTCATGCCAGCCATATGCTCCTGCCCTCACCTTTGAGCCAGCCTCTCCCCTCCCCCAACAGCATACTTGGGCTTAATTCTTTTTTTTTGGGGGGGGGCTTTTTTGGGTCACACCCAGCGATGCTCAGGGCTGACTCTTGACTCTGCACTCAGGAATCACTCCTGGCACTGCTGGGGGGACCATATGGGATGCTGGGAATCAAACGCCCTACCCACTGTGCTATCGCTCCAGCCCCTCAGGCTGAATTCTTAATAGCTCTCAATTTTTTTTGCTTTGTCTTGGGGCCACACCCTGTGGTGCTCGGAGCTTGCTTCTGACTCTGGACTCAAAGATCATTCCTGGCAGTGCTAAGGCAGCCCTACAGGATGCCGGGATATAGAACTGGGGGTTGGCCATGTGTAAGGCAAGTGCCTTAACCCCGATACTGTCACTCTGGCCCTCAGATCTATTTTTATAGAAAACTTTGAAGCAAATAAAATCGAGCTCTGTGGTTTTCCCTTCCCTGTGTTTTTTGGTGTTTGTTTGGCTTTGCTGGCTCTTGTTTTCTGTTCCCACCAGGGCTGCAGGCATGGGTCACGCCAGGTCTGTGCCTGCACTTGGTTTGGGCACCAGCCTGAGTGAGTCCCTCCAGGAGATGGGAGGGGGACTTTGCCAGCACATTCTTCCCTGGCCCTGAGTGCCAGCCCAGGCTCTGCTCACAGCTGGAGCGTGGCCTACTCCAGGCCTGGGGCTCCTCTGATGGGAGGCTGTGGCTAATGGAAGCGGCCAGGGCTTCAGTGTTAGTGCTTCTGGGGACAGGCCGAGCCCTTGCGGCTAGCATACTTGTGATGACCCAGCTCAGGCGCTTCTTAGGAGATGCCGGAATGGGTCCCTGATGCTTAGCACATGTCCCCTGCCCCCACTGCCTTGCAAAGAGGGTCTGTAAGTGTCAGAGTTAGAGTGCCCTGCCCCACGGTTTGGTCCTGCCACAAACAGTTCGGGAAACAGCTCCTTTGGGCTTCCAGAACACCCTGGTGGGCTCCAAGGTATGTTGTTCAAGGATCCACATCGGACAGAAACCACCCAAATCCTCATTTAGATTCACGGAGTGACTCGGGCCCAACATGACTGTCTCAGAGTCACTGTACAGACTAATCAGGGTGGCCAGTGCCATTTCTAAAGACTTGGTTTTTGAGAGTTTAGACTTGGTTTTCACGTACTATTTAAATAAGGAGCATGGGGGCCGGAGCAGTAGTATAGCAGGTAGGGTGTTCACCTTGCATGACCAACCTGGGCTTGGTCCCCAGTATCACATACGGCCCCCCCCAGAGCATTGCAGGAAGTGATTCCTATGTGCAGAGGCAGGAGTAACCCCTGAGCATCAGCGGGTGTGACCCTAAAACAACAACAACAAAAAGGAGCACAATCTGAGAGCAACTTACTGGTCTCACGATGGCAAAGTTAAGCTCCCTCATGAGGTCACCTGTCGGTGTGGACTCCATACCCACAGTCCAGCGGGCTCAGCGCCTGGCCCAGGTGGGGCTGCCGGGTGGATCACACCGGCCCCATTGCTCACCTGCCCTGTCATCTGTTTCATCATTAGACCTCCTCTGCATCTCTTTGTTTCCTTCCTATCTGAGTCCACACCTCAGTGCTGCTTCTGAGCGGTAGGGTTAGCGCACCTTCATTTGCATCTGTCATCTGTGCTGTTTGCTAATAAACACACAGAGGCTTTAATTCCCAAGGAAAAGCAATGACAAGGCCAAGCAGCGGGCCCCGTTCTGGGATTTGCCCCTTCTGGAAGCCGTCGAGGTTACAGCCTCGGAGAGTCACGCGGTTGGCAGGAAGAATTCCTAGCTCCTTAATAAGGGCCATGGGCATTGCCAACTGCGCCTGCCCCCCAGGAGCCGTGGAAGCAGTCTGGACAGCTTGCAGTTGCTGGCAGTACTCGTGGGGAATTTTCCAAGGCCCAAGGCCGACAGGAAAGGCTCTTAGCTTATCTGGAGATCAGAACTGTGGAATTTAGGGTAGGAAAGCAAGCTGGAGGTTTGTGGGGGAACCCAGATTGCAGGCCGTTGTGTCTGCTCAGGTGAGGCTGAATGCCCAGCACGGGAGCCCCAGGGAAGGGCAGAGGTGCGTGCCCCGCGGGCTGCTCTTGGATGTAAGAAAGAACCCAGGGGGGGACTCCAGGGAAAAGAAATGCAGTTTCTGAGGTGACGGAGCTAACTGTGGGCAAGAGCCGTGAAGGAGCAGGAGACGGAGCTTGGTCCCACCCCACCACCATTGGGGGCAGCGGCAGTGACAACGTCCCAGTCCCCATGGTGATGGGAGCCAGCAGGAATGGGGGATGGAGCTGCTGCAGAGAACCAGGGCGTGCTAGGGACCCTTTCCATGCTTTGAGGAGGGAGGATGTGTGCAGGGGTGGGGGTGGGAGGGTCCTCTGATTCCCCCCCCCCCCCCGGAGGCATTAAGGCATGTACACACCACCCCTCAAGGGGGCATCCGAAGAGAGGGCGGTGCAAGAGGCTTTACTGAGAGGGTCCATCTGAGAGCTGGGTGGACGCCTCCCACCTCGAGGGGCACCTGCAGGGATGCCAGCAAGGAGGCCCAGGACCTGTCAGGACAGAGAGGCCCACCCCAGCCCCTGCCCTAGATGCTCCCAGCTGCGCCCGCTGCCCAGTGTCCAGTGAGTTCTTAATCACTGGACGGCAGGCCCAGACAGGCCACATGCTTCTCTGGAACAGAAGAACCTCCTCTGGCCCTCTGAGCCTGTGCCCGGGCCTCAGTGCTGAGAGTTGGGGCTCTGCCCTCAGCTCCCATGAGCCTCGGTGCTGAGCTGAAGGCCAGGAGAGAAAGCCGAACTTGTGCTAGGGAGGGAAAAGAACATCAAATGCAAGCAAGATGATGCTTAGGGCCAGAACAGTAATAGAGCAGGTAGGCCATTGGCCTTGCGCATGGCTCACCTAGATTTGGTCCACATGGGATCCCTCAAGCCTGATAAGCAGTGCTCCCTGAGTGTAGAGCTTGGAGTAAGTCCTGAGCATCTCCAGGGGTGCTCCCCCCCCCACATTGTTCATCGATTTGCTAGAGCGGGCCTAGTAACGTCTCCATTGTGAGACTTGTTACTGTCTTTGGCATATTGAATATGTCACAAGGAGCTTGCCAGGCTTTGCCATGCAGGCGAGATACTCTTGTAGCTTGCCAGGCTCTCCGAGAGGGGTGGAGGAATCGAACCTGGCTTGACCGGGCTGACTGCACACAAGGCAAACGCCCTACTGCTTTGCTATCAAGTCTATCACTGGAGCGATAGAACAGCGGGTAAGGTGGTTGCCTTGCATGTGGCTGACCGAGGTTTGATTCCTCCACCCCTCTCGAAGAGCCTAGCTCCCCCCTCCCCCCACAAAAAAAAAGACAGCACTGTCATCAACTAAACAAAACCCCAAGTTGATGTCATTACCAGTGATAAGGGCACTGCTCAGAAACAGACTCTGGGGTTGAGAGGTGCAGCTTGGTGGTGGAACACAGGTTCCACCCGTGTGAGGGCCTGGCTTCAGTCCCTGAAACCACTGCGAAGAAACACTGGCCTCGGCAGGTTCTGTGTTTCCCGCTTCAGCCTGTGACATCAGCTGGGCACGTGAGAAATGCGGTGGGAGTTAGAGACCATTGTCAGAAAGCCCTTTCCTTGTCTGTCTGCAGTCAGTGGGCCTTTTCCAGAAGGCTCGCAGAGAAAGTGCAGATGGTGGTAATGAGAGCATTCAGAGGTCTTTGTTGCAGACCTCTAGGGTGGATGGGACCAGGAGGATGGGGATAGAGGATGAAGGATGGAGCCAAGGGGAAGGAGGAAGGATGGAGCTAGGAGGATCATAAAGGAAGGAGGAAGGAGAAGGAAAGATGGAGCCTGGAAGGAGGAGGTTGGACTGAGAACTAGAGGTGGAAGCTTAAATCTGCTCTGAGATCCAGGTGCAGGCTGAGTTCTTACCGCCCCTGCTGGGGGAACTGGTGGTGGCTGATTGGGGGGCAGCCGGCCCTGGCTTTCCTGCTGCCTTGATTCAAAGACAGGGAATCCGGGGGAGCCCTGTTGGTCCTGATGGGGACACAGAGCAGTGCTTGCAGGGTTTGCAAGGACAGATTGCAGAATGTTCAGACTAAGAATTGGAATCTTGTGACTCTCACCTGTCACCACAAGGAATGAAAACCTAGAAGTATCCTAAGATGACAATCATCTATGGAGGACTTACAAGGCTCTGTGTAAGTTAATGATTTTGTTTTTTATTTTTATTGTTTTTTTTAGGTAGACAAATCTGCAGTGTCATTTAATGAATATTACCCCAAGTACAATCTTAGCTGACGTGGCTAGGATAAAAATATGGGCATATATACAATGCACATATGTGTACATAACATCATTTCTCTAATAGCAGACATGCAAAGAATTTTTCCCCTTCCATCTTATTTTATTAAAGTAAGATTGTTTTTTGTTTTATTTATTTATTTTTTTTGCCCCATACCTCAGAAGTAAGTCAGGCCTTACTTCTGACTTGTGCTTTGCTCCTAGGACTCTGCACTCCTGCTGGTGCTCAGAGGACCATTATCAGATGCCAGGGATTGAACCCAGGTCAGTCACATGCAAGGCAAGCGCCCCATCCACCGTACTATTTCTCTAGCCCAAGTAAAATAGTTTTATTTAAAGAAATTTA